CCCAAAGGGCTGGGATTACAGGCGTGAGCTGCCATGTCCAGCAGATATATATACCTTTTAACAGTAATCATGTTTTGTTTTGTTTTGTTTCATTTTGGAGACAGGATCTCCTCTATCACCCACGCTGCAGTGCAGTGGCTTAATCATTGCTCACTGCAGTCTCGAACTTCCAGGCTGAAGCGATCCTCCTGTCTCAGCCTCCTGAGTAGCAGATGTGCACCACCACTCCCGGCTGATGGTTTTATATTTATATTTATTTTTGTAGAGAGAGTCTCCCTATGTTGCCCAGGGTGGTCTCCAACTGTGGGCCTCAAGGGATCTTCCTACCTTGGCCTCCCAAAATGCTGGAATTACAGGTAAGCCACCATGCCTGGCCAATAATTACGTTTTATAATATGTCTGTTTAAAAATTGTTTCCCAAATCTCTTCAGTAACTTACTCTCCTAAAGTTATACTACATTAAATTAAGTGATGGCTATTCATTGTATATCTAGATCATTTCCCAACAAGATAAAATACTGAAACATATAATTGCTGAACATAAGTTTACCTACTTTTGTCTTCTTATTACAAAGGAACCAGAGATATCTGGGTCTGTTAGTAAATACATCCTTTGCCACTTCAAAATTGTACTCTGGGGCAGGGTACAGTGGCTCAGGCCTGCAATCCCAGCACTTTGGGAGACTGTAGCAGGAAGATCACTTGAGGCCAGGAGTTTGAGGCTCCAGTAAGCTATAATCATGTCACTGCACTCCAGCCTGGGCGACAGAGCAAGACCCCGTAGTATTGAGAGATAACAATGTGCTAGTAGTCCTCATTCTCAGCGCCTCCTCGGCCTCCGGCCTCAGCGTCCACTGTGGTGGCGCTTGAGGAGCCCTTCAGCCCGCCACGGCACCGTGGGAGCCCCTCTCTGGGCTGGCTGAGGCCGGAGCCGCCTCTCTCTGCTTGTGGGGAGGTGTGGAGGGAGAGGCGCGGGCCGGTGTGAGTTCCGGCGGGCGCGGGCTCGGCGAGCCCGGCACACGGAGCGGCCTGCCAGCACCGCCGGCCCAGGGCAGTGAGGGGCTTAGCACCCGGGCCAGCAGCTGCGAGGTAGAGCCGGGTGCTCCAGCAGTGCCGGGCCGCCGGCGCCGCACTCAAATTCTCGTAGGGCCTTAGCTGCCTCCTCGCGGGGCAAGGCTCAGGACCTGCAGCCTGCCATGTCTGAGCTCCTCTCCCTGTGGTGGATTCCCGCGCGCGGCCTTAGCCTCCCCGACGGGCGCCGGCCCCTGCTCCGTGGCGCCCGGTCCCCTCGACAGCCCAAGGGTTGAGGAGTGCAGGCGCGGCTCGTGACTAGCGGCAGCTCCGCCTGCAGCCCTAGTGCAGGATTACCACTGGGTGAAGCCAGTTGGACTCCTGAACTGGATGGGGACTTGGAGAACTTTTATATCTAGTCAGAGGATGGTATGTGCACCAATCAGCACTCTGTATCTAGCTAACCCAGTGGGGACTTGGAGAACTTTTCCGTCTAGCGCTCTGCGTCTAGCTCAAGGATTGTAAATGCACCAATCAGCACTCTGTGTCTACCTCAGGGTTTGTAAATACACCAATCAGTACTCTGTGTTTAGCTCAAGGTTTGTAAATACACCAACTGGCATGCTGTATCTAGCTAACCTAGTGGAGACTTGGAGGGCTAGCTAGCACTCTGTGACTCTGTGTCTAGCTCAAGGAGCTAGATGTAAATGCACCAATCAGCACTCTGTGTCTAGCTCAGGGTTTGTGAATACACCAATTGGTACTCTGTATCTAGCTAACTCTGCATCTAGCTAACTAGCACTCTGTGACTCTGTGTCTAGCTCAAGGATTGTAAATGCACCAATCAGCACTCTGTCGAAACTGACCAATCAACTCTCTGTAAAGTGAACCAATCAGCTCTCTGTAAAATGGGCCAATCAGCAGGATGTGGGTGGGGCCAGGTAAGGGAATAAAAGCAGGTTACCCGTGCTGGCCTGCGGCAATCTGGTGGGATTCCTGTAGACATGTAAGATTTCCACTTTTTACAGTAAATGTTGTTGGTTAGTCTGGGTTCACACTGCATTTATGAGCTGTAGTACTATCAAGGTTTGCAGCTTCACTTTTAAAGCCAACCAGACCACGAACCCATTGGGACTAATGAACCAACAACTCCAGTCGTTGGGTCTTTAAGAGCTATAACACTCACCACGAAGGTCTGCAGCTTTACACCTGGTGAGAGCAGGCATCTGCCACAACGAAGAAGCTCCAGACACATTTGAATGTTTGAAGGAACAAACTTGGGACACACCATCTTTAAGAATTTAACACTCACCAGGAGGGTCCACGGCTTCATTCTTGAAGTCCGTGAGACCAAGAACCCACCATTTCCAGACACGGTAGTACTAGTTACTGACGAGGTCAAGGTGGGGAGGATCACTTGGGCCTAGGAGTTTGAGGTTGCAGTGAGCTATGATGGCTCCACTGGGCAGTACACCAAGACCCTGTCCAAATAAAATTATGCTATGAGAAAGTACCTATTTTCAGAAATAAAATGATGCATTTATAGATTTGTCAATCTGCAGAACGCTGCTGTAACAGTTTGTGACTGCTTACTTCCTATTTTTACTAGAAATTAAGGTTACTAAGGGTTAAAAATTTTAAGTATATGTAGTTAAAACTAGAAATTATAAGAGAAACTTTGTATGCAAAACACAAAAGAAAACGCATACTTTTGGTTAAGAAACTTATAAAGCATAAGAATTTTTGGGGGGTAAAGGAAGATACTAATTTTGTCTAGTTTGGAGGTTATTTAAGGTTGTTTCAGAATGAAAGAAGGAAATGGGAGGTGCAAAAGGAAAGGGAAGGCATTGCTCAGTGAGAGCAAAGCTATACCTAGATAGGAGAAATAAGTTCTGGTGTTCTGCACATCAAGGTGACTATAGTTAATACAATGTATTATATATTTCAAGACAACTAAAAAACGCATTTTTTTGGACATGAAGTCTCACTCTGTTGACCAGGCTAGAGTGCAGTGGTGTGATCTGTGCTCACTGCAACTTCTGCCTCCCAGGTTCAAGCGATTTTTGTGTCTAAGCCTCCTGCATAGCTGGGATTTCAGGCACACGCCACCATGTCCAGGGAGGTAGGGGTGTGTGTGTGTGTGTGTGTGTGTGTGTGTGTGTGTGTGTAGAGTAGAGAAGGGGTTTTGCCATGTTAGCCAGACTGGTCTTGAACTCCTGACCTCAAGTGATCCAGCCCACCTCCTCCCCCCAAAGTACTGAGATTAGCCATGCGAGCCATCGTGCCTAGTCTAGAATTTCTTTTTAGAGACAGGGTTTTGCTACGTTGGTCGGGCTAGATTTGAACTTCTGGGTTTAGGCAATCCTCCTGCCTCAGTTTCCCAAGTAATTGAGACTATAGGCATGTAGCACTATGCCTGGCTAGAAGAGAGGATTTGAAATATCTACTGGGTACGGTGGATCATGCCTGTAATTCCAGCACTTTGAGAGGCCGAGGCGGGAGGATCACTTGGGCTCAGGAGTTCAAGACCAGCCTGGGTAACATGACCAAACACGTCTCTACTGAAAATACAAAAATTAGCTGGCATAGTGGCATGCATCTGTAGTGGCTACTGGGGAGGCTGAGGTGGAAGGATCAGCTGAACCCAGGAGGCTGAGGCTGTAGTGAGCCATGATCATGCCACTGCACTCCAGCCTGGGTGACAGAGTGAGACCGTGTCTCAATAAATAAGTAAATTAAATATTTTAAAAAGTAAATACTGTCACTACAAAAAAATAAATATTTGAGGAGATATATAAGCCAATTATTCTGATCTGATTATTCCATAATGTATACATGTATTGAAGTATTACTTTGTATCCCATAAATATAAACAATTATCAATGAAAATAAAAAAACCTGAATGGATATAGAACATTGGGAGAAAGAATTTTGTATAGTCAAATTGACTAAAATTGAATGAATTTATTTAAAAGGTTTTACAAATTAGCCTTAATATAAAAAAATACACTTATGCAAAACTAGAATTTGGGTTTGGTGGCTCATGTCTGTAATCTCATCCATTTGGGAAGCTGAGGCAGGAGGATCAGCTGAGGCCAGAAGTTCAAGACCAGCCCTGAGCAACATAGTGAGAACTTGTCTCTACAAAAAAAAAAAAATTGACTGGGCATGCATGCACCTGTAGTTCCAGCTACTGGGAAGACTGAAATGGGAGGATGGCTTGGGTCCTAGTCTCCCTGTCCCGGCCACTCTGAGCATGCCTGGTGTTCAGGTGTGTGTGTGGGCTGTAGACTTACTGCTTCTGAGGTTTAGGCAAGCGGGTCTCATATATTGTCCTGTTCCAGTTACTCTTTCCAGTTACTCCCACTTACTGAGGCTACAGCGGAGAGGACTGGAGCACAAAAGAGTCAACATTCTTAAGGAAACACAATTAGAAAGTGCAGCCTGGGCTGGGCGCGGTGGCTCAGACCTATAATCCCAGCACTTTGAGAGATCGAAGCAGGTGGATCACTTGAGCTCGGGTGTTCGAGACCAGCCTGACCAACATGGTGAAACTCCATCTCTACTAAAAATACAAAAAAATTAGCCTGGCATGATGGCACACTCTTATAATCCCAGCTACTTGGGAGGCTGAGGTAGGAGAATGGCTTGAACCCAGGAGGCAGAGGTTGCAGTGAGCCGAGATCCCGCCATTGCACTCTAGCCTGAGCAAAAAGAGCAAAACTCCATCTCAAAAAAAAAAAAAAGTGCAATCTGGGTTCCAACTCCGCAGGAAATCCTGCATATGTTCCCTGCCCTCTCCTCCCCCTAGACTGGAGGTGGGGGCCAGCCCAGCTGCCTGCTCCCCTCAATATACCAGGTGCTAGAACACAGCTGTTTCTTCCTTGTTCCCCAACCCAGGCAGGCTGTAATTGGTGGGGCAGAGCAGGGCGGGGCTACCCCCATGTTGAATCCACTGGGGCTATCTCCACTCCAGGCAAATCCAGCCAGAGACTGATTCTGAGCAGCAGTTCTGCCTGGTGAGAGCTGCCATGGATTGGTGAGGATAGGGGACTGGGAGGTCAGGAAGTGTCAGGTCAGGGTGGATCAGGAGCCCCAAAAGAAAAATTAGAATTGCCTGGAGAAGAACTCCTGCTAGACTGAGGGAGAAGGGTTAGGGAATTCCAGGGGCATGGAGGCTGTGGAAGAGGAGGGGGTGACTAGAGGAAGGGAGAGGCCAGGAAGCAATAGGAATGCCTGGAGCTGGAAATGGCAAGCTGTATGTCTTGGTTTACTCTTTCCTTGGTGCAGTCTCCCTGTCTGTGCTATGGTGAGAACTTTCCTGCCTTAGCTGCCTTGCCAAGAGAAAGGGCTTCATGAAAGCAAAAACGACCTGCAAATTGAGGTCAGGAGTAGGAAGGTGTAAACTGAAGGGAGAGGGACCTCCTGCCCACCCCATGTCCTTGCCAGGTGAGGTGGAAGCAGGACATGCAAGCCTAAAGTCTGTGTTGTCTTCCCAGGCACTGATTCACTGGCCCTGCCATGCCCGCGCCACTGTTCCCACTGCTGCTTCGGTTGCTGCTGTCCCGTCTGCTGCTGCCTGTCGCCCGCCTGGCCCGCCAGTACCTCCTGCCCCTGCTGCGCCGATTGGCCCGCCGCCTGGGCTCCCAGGACATGCGAGAGGCTTTGCTGGGCTGTTTGCTGTTCATTCTCAGCCAGCGACACTCGCCAGACGCTGGGGAGGCCTCAAGAGTGGACCGCCTGGAGAGGAGGGAGAGGTTAGGCCCCCAGAAGTGAGGCCACGAGTCCTGGCAGCAGCTGAATCCACAAAATGCTTTCTTCTGGAGTAGGATAATCCTGGCACCAGCACTGACCGAAGCCTGCCCGGTGGACAGAAGATATAGTGAGGGTTGTGCATGAGATGGATCTGCCACAGACATGCCTCTCCACTCCCAACAGAAATGTCTTTCTGGAAGAATGCCTTGCATCTAGCATGAAATCGATCATTGCCCCTCTGTTCTCCAGGAGTTCCTCCCAAAGACCACTCCTAATCACCTCTGGCCTCAGATGGGAGGGGAACTAACACCCACCCACCCCTGCCGTCCCTGCAAATTAGAACATCAAGGTTCCCAATGCTTAACTGAGGGACAAGTGACAATTTAGCAGAGAGGAAAGATTTGAATCCAGACTGTCTTCCAGACTCAGGACCTACCTTAAAATAATATCTGAGTTCCCTATGGAGGCAGACCTGCCTGCACAGCCCAGCACTCAGCAAGTGCTCAATAAATATTTGAGTTGAATTATTTCCATGCCTTTGAAAGTCTAATCACTCAGACTGTTGCCCTGCAAAACAGTTTAACCTGGCCTGGCAGCTGGTGGGGGTGGGGGAGAGGAGAGATGGACAATTGTACAAGGGTTTATTTTGCTACCTATTCCATTGTGGTTTCAGTCTTCACAGCTTGGAAGTTGTTTCCCCCTGCTTAGTTTCGGTCAGCATGTCACACTGTGACCCAGAAATGGCTTGAGTCTAGGAGGAAGTTTGCCTGGCTAGCGAACAGTAGGGAGGAAAATGTCCTCCAGCGAGTTTGAGGACTTCTCAGCTAGTGGTGGTGAGAAGAGGGGTGATACGTTTGCTAAGAGACTGGGTGGGAGGCCACCCAGGGAGGCAGTGCAGAAATCCATCCCCTTGAGGGTCATCCCACCCTTGAAGAGACTAGGGGTGGGTGACTGGCCTTAAGAACTGACTTCATCATTTCCTTCTCCCTAGTGGGAGGCCCCTGAGGGGTCAAATAAGAGTTAGACCCAGAAGAGTCAATCAACATGCTTAAGGAAACAGAAAGTACAGTCCGGGCTGGGCGCTGTGGCTCACGCCTGTAATCCCAGCACTTTGGGAGGCCTAGGCAGGCAGATCACCTGAGGTTGGGAGTTCGAGACCTGCCTGACCACCATGGAGAAACCCCGTCTCTCGTAAAAATACAAAATTAGCTGGGCGTAGTGGCGTATGCCTGTAATCCCAGCTCCTCCAGAGGCTGAGGCAGGAGAATCGCTTGAATCTGGGAGGCGGAGGTTGCAGTGAGCTGAGATCGCGCCATTGCACTCCAGCCTGGACAAGAAGAGCGAAACTCCGTCTTAAGAAAAAAAAAAAAAAAAAAGATACATTTGCATCCCAGCCTCCGGATAATTTGTTTATTGTTTCCAGGCAATAATCCTCTCTCTCTGGGTGAATGTTGGGCTCTATCTAGGTTCAGAGGATAGTGAGGAGTACAGGACCCTATCGGGATTCCAGTCGCCTCTCCACACCTGTCAGAAGGCTTGGTTGGGGAAGAAGTGAGCCCTGAGCTGTGTGCCCCACTCCCAGCCCTGCGGGGCTTTCTGCCAGCCGCACGCTGTCCCTCCCCACCACCCCATCGGCTTCCTTCGGGAGTCTTCAAAGCCAGTGCACGTGCTCCTAGGTCTCAGGGAGGCGACCTAGGGGGAGGGGTAGAGAGAAGGGAGTCCGAGACCCTGGGCCTCTAACCCCGTCCCTTTCCTAAGCCTCAGGTGCCCAAAGGCGCCGGCCGCCAGTCAGGCCCGACGGGCCCCTCCCACTGAGTCGGCTCTGCTTTCCCCGCCCCCGAGCCGTGAGGACTGGACAGAGCCGGCTGCGGAGCTCTGGGCGGGCGCTGGGGTCGCCTGTTGCAGCCTCTCTTCCGCCTGGCGGCCCGCACCGGTCAAGCCCGGCGCGGGCTGCGCTCTCCAGCCGTGGCTATGGCCCCAGCCCCGAGATGAGGAGGGAGAGAACTAGGGGCCCGCAGGCCTGGGAATTTCCGTTCCCCGCAAGTCCGGATGCCCGCTCCACAGTCTCAGCAGGTGCGCTGGGCGGGGCCGGGGGATCTGGGGGTGGGGGCGAGGTCTGCGCTGTTCCCACGCTGCCCTGTGGGACAGGGGGCCAGTAAGGGAACCTGCTGGGCTACAGCGTCTCAGGGGAGTCTGAATCTTTGGTTTCTGGATGCGGGGCCACTTTTCTGGGACTTCAAAGGCCGTTATTAGATGACTGCCTCCCCAAACTCCCCAACCACTTACAGATGCCCCAGGAACATAGGGTAGGGGGAAGAGGTGTGGAAAATTAGGCTAGAAGACCAGCCCAGACCTAGCTGAACAAAGAATTAAGTCTTCTTGAATCCTGAGCCAGTACCCACACCTGTCTTTACTTAAAAATTTTTGATGTTTTATTCACCATGGAGTCTTTAAAAACAAAACAAAAACAAAAACCGAGTCTCGCTCTGTTGTTCAGGCTGGAGGGCAGTGGTGTGACCACAGCTTACTGCAGCCTCGACCTCATGGACTCAAGTCATCCTCCAGACATCCTCCCACCTCAGCCTCCCAAAGTGCCGGGACCACAGGCATGTGTCAACATGCTTGGCTAGTTTTTTTTTGTTTGTTTGTTTGTTTTTTTTGTTTTTTTTTTTTAAGAGATAGAGTCTCCCTACTATGCCCAGGCTGGTCTTGACCTCCTAAGCTCAAATGATTTTTCTACCTTGGCCTCCCAAAGTGCTGGGATGACAGTGTGAGCCACTGCACTTGGCATCATGGAATCTTGATTTGTAGACATTGCATTAAAACTTATTTTGGTAAGGGCCGGGCGTGGTGGCTCATGCCTGTAATCCCAGTGCTTTGGGAGGCTGAGGCGGGCGGATCACAAGGTCAGGAGTTCGAGACCAGCCTGACCAATGTGGTGAAACCCTGTCTCTACTTAAAAAAAAAATTAGCTGGGCATGGTGGCACACGCCTGTAATCCCAGCTACTCAGGAGGCTGAGGCAGGAGAATCTCTTGAACCCAGGAGGTGGAGGTTGCAGTGAGCTGAGATCACACCACTGCACTCCAGCCTGGGTGACAGAGTGAGACTCTGTCTCAAAGGGGGAAAAAAAAAAAACAACTTATTTTGGTTACATTAAAATTTATTTTTTTTTTTTTTTTTTGACAAGGTCTTGCTCTGTTGCCCAGGCTGGAGTGCAATGGCAGGATGATGGCTCACTGCAGCCTCGACCTCCTGGGCTCTAGTGAACCTCCCGCCTCAGCCTCTGGAGTAGCTGGAACCACAGGCTCGAGCCACCATACCTGGCTAATTTATTTTAATTTTTTTGTAGAGATGGGGTCTCACTATGTTGCCCAGGCTGGTCTTGAACTCCTGGGCTCAAGTGATCCACCTTGGCCTCCCAGAGTGCTAAGATTTCAGGCATGAGCCACTGCTCTTGGCCTAAAATTTATCTTGATTAATGAGGTTTTTGGCTCCCCCTTACATTTTACACCCCTGGCAAGTGCCTTACTGGCCTCTCCCTAGTCCCAGCCCTGTCACAAGGCCATGGAGATATAGTCACAAACACAACTGAGAACATAGACGGTCATGAGACATGTGCTGGTTACCAACCCCCAGGCCAAACAAACACACTTTCAGCAAACACAGATGACTTGTTGGTGACAGCTGAGAGGACACAGGCCTGGGGAGAGAGAGGACTGTGTGTGAGGTGGTAAGTCATGCTTGGGGCCTGCCAAGTGGGGGAGGGAGTCTGGGGCAAGCCACCGTCCCATATAGGGTGGTGGATAAGGTGGAGAGTAGGGGTGCAGCAGGACCAACCCTTCCCACCCCACCCCTTCGACAGGGACCTGAGGGAGCTCAGGGAGGGAGAGAGGCCAGAAGACCAGGCAGAGACTGAAGAGAGCTGGCAAGGTTTGGCTAGAAAAACTCCAGGCAAGGCCTGTGTGAGTTGGGGCTCCCCAGGCTGTCCAGCAGGGGGCCCTGGCACCCAGCAACCTCCTCTGCTTGGGAGGTGGCTACAGAGGGGTGTGGGTGCTGGCTAGGGGCCCAGCAGGATGGATGCCAGATGGACTTCTCTCCAACAATAACAGCACTGGCTGTTGCCGTCCGCCTAGCCGGCAGGGCCCCAGCACGGGTGGGGAGAAGAACCAGCCTTCCCCAGTCTGGCCTGAGACCCTCACCACTTCCCTCCAGTTTTCTTCCACCTCCAGTCCCCTTTGTACACAATTGCAGCCACTGGCCACCAGCCTTGCCATGCCTGGCAGATCTTCTGACCACTAGCCCTGCCACCCCCACAGACCCAGAGACCAGGAAAGGAGGGTGGGGAGCGAGGAAGGGGGCCAAGGCAGAGGGGAGAGGAGGGCTAGGAGAGGAAGAGAGAGAGACTGGACAAACATGAGGGTGGGAATTAGGGGGTTGTGGACAGACATGAAGCCACTCTCAAGTCACGGAACAGTGCCTAGAAAAACACCACCCAAACCCATCTTCCTGCCCTCTGGTTAGGGCTGGCGGGGATGTGGGGGATGGGTGGGGTGGGTGAGGGTTGGGAAGGGATATGTGTGTCATCTCTGTGGGGCATGGAAACACAAGGCTGGGGACACCCATTCTGGAGTAGCTTGGGGAGAGCCACTGACCCTAAGTAGAAAAGCCACCTCTCTCCTTAGGGCTCTGTCTGTTTCTCTGGGGACAGGATAGGACTACCTTATCCCTATGATGTGAGGTACTGCCAATTGTTAATCAGTGTCTGTGGCTTCTCTAGGGGACAAGCCCTTCGGGTCAGTGGGCATGGGGTGAGCAGCGTGGGTTGGATTTTCTCCTCAGGACCTTTCCAGCCTTCGGATCACGCTCTAGCACTGAGTGCTGCTGGAAGGGCAGGGAGTGCACCCCACCCCACCCCATTTATTGCTCAACCAAAGAGAGGGCCTCCCTCCCCCTCCCTTGGAGGGACTTGCTGGACCACCCCTCAGCACGCCCACACCTTCCTCCTCAGCACTAATAGTGGAGGACGTGATCAGCAAGGCTTCCGCCTCTCAGGACGGCTGGGACAATAGGATTCACTCAGGATGTAAGGCTGTTCCTGGCTTTTTCTCTTCCCATTCCCAGCTGTGCCTCAGTTTTCCAAAGTGCTGGATTTAGAAAGGGTGAATTATGAGGGAGTTGGAGGGTTGTGCCCCTGTCCCCCTCCGCGCGCACACACAAGCACAGGCAGAGGCACATACCCCCTCCAAGTCAAAGTTGTGGGTGGTGTGGTGTTTGCGCCTCTGTGGCTGGGACTGGATGTGTCAGGGATGGGGAAACCATCATGCTGGTCACAGAAAATGGGAGGTGGGGACAGAAGCAGTTTTGAAGGAAAATAAGAGGGAGACTGAAAGAAAGAAGGGGGCGTTGAAAGGGAGGGCGCTGGGAGGAAAAAGGTGCAGTGTGGAGGAAGCGCGGCGTGGGCGGGGCTTGGGAAGAGATAACGGAACATCTGAGGTGGAGTGGGCCGTAGGGCGTCGGGGCCGTTCTGAGTAGCGGGTGTGTAAATGGAACAGTCCCGAGATAGATTTTATGGGAGTCTGCTCAGGTCCTTAATGTGTGGCTGTACCCTCCAGCCCCATGTGCCCCACACGAGGGACAACCTTGGTGTGGCAGGGCCCAAAGAGGTCCTGTCTACCGAAGTAACACCACCAGGCGGCCCTGGGGGCGCAGGGGCTCGGTGTGGGGACCGCAGAGCGCGCGGAGTCGCCGTGGGGTGGCGGGGCGGGCCGGGGGCGGGGCCGCGGGCTCGCGGGTGTAGGGAGGGAGGTGGCAGTGGGCTCAGGGCGGGGCGGGCCCAGCGGAGGGCGGGTTTGAATGTGCCCCGGCGGGCGCGGGAAGCTGCAGGAAGAGTGCGCGGATCTCAGCGCGGGAGCACTGCTTCTCAGGCAGGTGCTGCCCGGGGCCGGGGACTGGGGACCGCCAGGGCAGAAGACGCCGCTGCCCGCTTGCCACGGAGGGCAGGGAGGCCGGGTCTGACGGCTCCGCAGCCCGGAGAAGGATCGCCGGGTGGGGCCCCAGTGCGGAGCGTGCGGAGACGCGCAGCACGTGGCGCGCACGGGCCAGGGAGCCAGAGGACCCTGCGGGGACCGTGACCCGAGCTGGGCTGGACAGCTTGTCTCCCGGGCCTGAAACAGACTGCGGTCACGTTGACCTCCGCAAGGGGCAGGCGAGTGGACGGGTGATCCCGATCGATCTGGTCGGTAACAGGGAGGGGCCGTGCCGCCGACTGCGCTGGCGGAGGGGAATGGGGATGGGGATGGAGGCTCGCGAGCGGAGGTGCGGGGCTGTCTCTTTAACCTGGGTCTTTTACTGGCTAAAGTCGTATCCCTGGCGTCTCCTTCCAGCGCACGTCCTCATTTACTGGTTTACTGTCAGAGTGTATGAGAGGGCGAAGACACACACTCCTCGGCTTTGCTTACCAGGAGAGAGCAGTCGTAGGTCAAGGCTGGCTCCAACCCTGCCCTCACACCTCTAGGGGTCTCTCTCCAGCCCCGTTGTCGTCCTTTTGCCTACTCCTCTCGGTGGCCTCCAGACCCTTCAACTTTCCTCCTGCTTGTGTTAGCTCCCCATGCCAGGATGTGTGTGATGGGGCGGGGCTGAGGTGCCTGACACTCAAGTCAGGCTGGGAATGATCTTGGTCTCCACCTCATTTTTCCCTTTAGTTGGATCAGAGTTCCCCCCCACCTCCCAGTCTACAGGGCTAGCTGAGAAGCAGCTTTTATACCTCTCTCCATTCCAAAAGGAGCTTGAACATTTAATTTGGATTCTAGCTCCTCCACTCACCAGCTCTGTGACCTCAGGCAAGTTACTCAACCTCTCTGAACTTCAGATGGCCCAATCTATTCAGTGCTAGTACTAGCTTATGGGTGGTTGTGAGGAAAAGACGAGAGATCTGCAGATAGTGGCTGGCCCCATATGAGATCCTGGGAGTGGAGAATTGCAGGAGAGGTGTTGGGAGTCTGGAGGCAGGGAAGTACTCAATTTGGTGGCTGCTTTCAGGGGCCCACCTCAGCAGGCCAAAGCATAGTTGGAGGGACACCGGATGCTCTGAGCTGGTATCAGATCCCTGTTTGCTGCTGGGCAAAGGCAGACAAGCAAAACACGAAGGCTGGCCGGCTGAATGTTAGGATATGGTCAGGAGGAGAGGGCTGCCCGTAGTGGAGTTGAATTGTGCCCAAGACTGGAATGGGAACTCCTGAGAACAGAGAGAGCAGGGGTGTAGCTGGGGGATAGGGAAGAAATAAATACTTCTTCTCTAAGCCCAAGCCAGTTTTACCCAGGAGAACAGGAGCTATTCTCCCCACCCCAGGCCTCCATCTGCTTTGAAGTTGCACCTGCCCTTTACTTCCAGGAATCTTGCCTGTGGGGTGGAGTACAGGGTATGCGGGTATGAGGTAAGAACCTAAAGGAAGAGTCCTTACTACCGAATAGAAAACCTGAGACCTAGGCAGGGTGCGGTGGCTCATGCCTGTAATCCCAGCCACTTTGGGAAGCCAAGGTGGGTGGATCACCTGAGGTCGGGAGTTCCAAACCAGCCTGGTCAACATGGTGAAACCCCGTCTCTACTAAAAATACAGAAATCAGCCAGGCGTGGTGGCAGGAGCCTGTATTCCCAGCTACTCAGGAGGCTGAGGCAGGAGAATCACTTGAACCTGGGAAGCAGAATTTGCAGTGAGCCAAGATTGTGCCATTGCACTCCAACCTGGGCAACAGGAGCAAAAACTCCATCTCAAAAAAAGGAAAAAGAAAACCTGAGACCTGAGCCTTTCCCCCACCCCCACCCCCACCCCAGTAATGCCCTCTTGCCTTCATCTCCCTAGAAAATGTAAATATGGGGCCGGGCGCGGTGGCTCAAGCCTGTAATCCCAGCACTTTGGGAGGCCGAGACGGGCGGATCACGAGGTCAGGAGATCGAGACCATCCTGGCGAACATGGTGAAACCCCGTCTCTACTAAAAAAAAAAAATACAAAAAAACTAGCCGGGCGAGGTGGCGGGCGCCTGTAGTCCCAGCTACTCGGGAGGCTGAGGCAGGAGAATGGCGTAAACCCGGGAGGCGGAGCTTGCAGTGAGCTGAGATCCGGCCACTGCACTCCAGCCTGGGCGACAGAGCGAGACTCCGTCTCAAAAAAAAAAAAAAAAAAGAAAATGTAAATATGGTTATTCACCACTCTGGTGCCTAGGACAGTGCCTGGCTAGCATGCAGAGGTCCTCAGTAAATATTTGTTGAAGGGGTGATTGCAGGAATCCTTCTGCCTCCATCTGGAGGTGTGGGCTGAGGGGCCGAGGAGGACCTCTGAGAGCTTGGAGTTTCCCCAGCGAGGGTTGAGAGGAACTACAGGGAAGTGGGAGAGCCCATAGAACGTCTCATGGTGCCCAGCTGCTTCTGTTTGTCTGAGTGGGCCCTGGAGCAATGCTGCACCTGTGAGAGCTCCCCTGCTGAGACTCCCTGTTCTCTTATCTCCCAAGCGACAGGGGTGGCTTTTTATCTCCTGGGTGTGCTTCTGCTTCTTTGCTTGCAAGCCTTCTCAGAATGGGGCCCCAGGAAGCCTGAGGGACTCTCTCCTGATATGCCCTGTGCCACCTTTTTCATTCTGGATCCGCACCCAGGAGCCCGTGGACAAGGCCCATTGCCTGAGCCTGAACTAGGAGCACCTCCTAGGGACTGCCCAGGCTCGCTCTGCTCTGACCCTTCCGCTGGCCAGTCTGGGCACCTGGTAAGTGCCCAGAAAGGGAGTGAGGGGAAGCTGTCCTTTCACCCCAAACAGCAAGGCCTGGGCCCAGCTAGGCCTGAGTGTGGGGGATGTGTCAGTGCACATCTGCCTGGCTTAACATGCCATCCAATGGGAAAACTGTTGAATCGGGTGGTGCCAGGGGGTCTTCCCCTACACAAATAGGGAGCAGGAGAGGGACGCTGAGGGAGAAGGATAGGAGCTTTGGGATCCACCCCTCCAATCTTCTTTACAAGGTCACTCTGAGAAAGGGGACGAGGACAGGAGCCTGTGACAGAGGAACTAAGGGAGGACTAGGTGACCCTAGGGTCAGGAGGTGGGAGGAGGAAGGGCTGTACCCCCACATCCATTATGAAATATTTTCCTGGAAAACCAGCCAGCAACTAGGAAGCTCCTGGGCAGTGGCTGGAAAGAAAGGTTAAGGTGCCAACAGCAGAGAAGCTGGAATCTGGGGTGCCTCCAGGAGAGGACAGCCCCCACTCTAGCCGTGAATCCAGGGGCTTCCCAGGGAGGGTGGAGAGACCAGACTTGTGGAGAGGGGCCTGGGGAGCCTCTGGTTTGGCCTCAGCCATCATCGCCGTTGTCTCAGCTGCTGCAGATCTGCCTGCTCTGTGTCCTTCCTCCTCCTCCTCCCCCGACCTCTTTGCTGTGTCTCCTCCATTTGTCTCTCTCCTTCCCTTGTCATCACTGTCCCTGACCCCTCTCGTCCTCTTCCCTGCCTTCTTTGACTGTCTTTCCCTCCCTCCCATCATCTTTCCTCCTCCTTCCCTCCTGCTCTCCACCCTCCTGTTTCCCAGCTTATAAACTGCTTCGGCTGCTGGATAAAAATAGCGGTGGCAGCGGCCAGGCCGGGAGCCAGGTAGAGTCTGAGCAGGCAGGGGGGCCGTGCAGGACTGGCCTGCTGGGCCAGGGGGCTGGGTAGGGGTCAAGTTGAGTGGTCCTGAGGGCAGGGTACAGAGGGGGTCTTAGTGGACCTCCTCGACTGGCCTGTTCTGTCAGCCCTGCCCCCTCTCCCCCTAAGAGCCTGAGGAGGCCTGTGGCAGGGCCAAGACAGGGCCTTACACTGTTCCTGCCCCCAGCAGGCCCCTGAGGGAGGGAGCTGTCAGCCAGGCAAAACCGAGAACATCATCGCCATGACAACCAGTCACCAGCCTCAGGACAGGTAAGGGGTAGGGGGCTGGGCTGTGGATCCAGGGAATGGGTTTTCAGGGATCTGGGTGCGGTGTCCTTTGGAATTGGGGGTTGCCACTGCTGGCTGGCCTTCTAGCCAGGTAGCTATGAGTCAGGTCTGCATCAGGGGCGGAGACCCCTTGTGCCTTGGCTGGGTGCTGGCTGGGGGGTCTGCGGGAAGGGCAGGATGCGTGGGCAGCAGTCCCTCCCTGGCGTGTCTGTGTTTCCACTGTTGCTCTCCAGCCAGTTAGCGGCTTCTGGCTCCTCCCGCCACCACTGTGGGGAGATACTTGCCTCACCCCTCCTTCCAATGCACATCTGGCAGAACTGCCCTTGGGCCTCTGCCTTAGATGACCTGGCCCACCCTGGTTCTTGATCTGATCTTCTCAATTCCCCGCCTCTGGAGCCTGTGAATTCCCAATCAAGTTAGACTTGCAGTTATGACTGTGAATATGTATTTTGGAAGAGGAGGCTGTAGCTTAATTCAATTTCTTAAAGGGATCTGGGACCCAAGAAGGCTGAGGAAGTGATGCCTGAGATCCAAAGCTCCTTCAAAGCATCAGGCTCTGTCCTTCCCTCCAGCTGAGGCCCCAGAAACCTATCACGTCTGCCCTACCCATCTCATCTCCCTCCTGTGCCAAAGGCTATGAAACTAGGCCACTTGTGCCTGTGGGGGCTTTGAGCATGTAGCTTAATGTCTCTGGGACTGTTTTCCAACCTGTAAAATAGAACTAAAAGTATCTACTTCCCAGGAAGTGGATCTAGAAGTAAGGGAATTTAAGGAGGCATGGCAGTAAGTCCAGGCCCCAGGGTGCTTCCCTGCCTCCTGTGTTTCATTCCCAGGCTGCCTGCCCAGTCTATCCCCACCTCTGCTCTCCTGTGGGCAGTTCCCTGAAGCCCTCGCTGTCTCCATTTGCCTTATTGCACAGCTCAGTCATTTCACAGCGCCCCCCGCCCCGATCCTCTCTCCTTTGTGACTTCGGGAGTTTTTCCTTCCACTCTGGGCCTCCGAATCAAGCCTTTAGCTTCTCCAAGGGAAGCGTGTATATGAGGGGGTTGGGGGACTGCAGTTGCATTAACTTAGATGTGCTCACGTGGGGCACTCACCACTCCATCCCTGTGTGAGGCCTGCCAGCCGTCCAGGCTCCTGCACTCTGGCCAGGCCTGTCTTCTCACTGCCTTGGGCTTTATCCCTGCCATCTCTGAAAAGAGCTGGTGTTGGCTCTGGGGAGGGTGTGCAGACCCAACGGGAGATCTGCATGGGCTGGGCTGGGGTTACTCAGCTTTCAGGCAAGGCCTACTTGGGAGAAGCTGGCCTGACCCGGAAGGGCCCAGAAGTATAGGGCCTGGGGCATTTTCCTGGCCAAAGGAGGGCAGCCCTTATTTATACCCTGAGGCCCAGATGATCTCCAGTGGCCCCATACCTCCTGGCCTGCCCTGGGTGGTATGAACTACAAAGTTCTGTTTGGCCAGGAAGAAAACAGCTCTAAGGCCCTCTCTTCACAGCGGCCCTGAGGCACCCTGCCCGCCTGCCCCTGTAGGTTCAGAATAGTATGGGAGTTTCTCAACCTCAGAATCCTCTCTGGGGAGCAACACAGTCCCTGACCAGACAGCATAATTACTTCCAGCCTGCCTGGTGGGGGTGGAAGACACTTGCTGCTTGCTTTCTCACTCATCCACCCGCCCTCAGCCCTTCGGGAGGATTTCCAAAACCATCTCCGGATGTGTGGGTCACACTGGTTCCCAGCCTGCAGAGTCCCCCAGGCCTTCCAGGACTGATAACTATGGTCCTGTCAGCCATGCCATTCAGTCCTATGACCCTGACCCCCTCCCCACCCCGAATTCCAACAAGCCGTGTACCCTTTTCTCCCCCCACACCTGTAAGAGGACACGTGCAAATGGACACAAACACAGATGCCCTGGGACCTAGAGAGACTGAGGATGGACAGGGGCTTCCCTGGGGCTCATCGTGGAATGGGGCAGGATGGTGCGTCACTTGGCCCCTCTTTCCTCCCCCATTGCAGATACAAAGCTGTCTGGCTTATCTTCTTCATGCTGGGTCTGGGAACGCTGCTCCCATGGAATTTTTTCATGACGGCCACTCAGGTGAGGCCGGAGGGACTGGGCTCCATGGGGCATTGCCCACTGTGCCTGCAGGATCTGACTCTGTGCTGGTAGGCACAGGGAGAGAGATTTCAACACTCCTCTCTGCAACTCCTGCAGTATTTCACAAACCGCCTGGACATGTCCCAGAATGTGTCCTTGGTCACTGCTGAACTGAGCAAGGACGCCCAGGCGTCAGCCGCCCCTGCAGCACCCTTGCCTGAGCGGAACTCTCTCAGTGTCATCTTCAACAATGTCATGACCCTATGTGCCATGCTGCCCCTGCTGTTATTCACCTACCTCAACTCCTTCCTGCATCAGAGGTGAGTGCCCACCCCCTCCCCAGCCCCCAGCCTGACCCTCACTGTGTCTTGCACCCCCTTGGCTGAGCCCCAGCTTTGCCCACTTGTTTCTGCCACCCTTGGCCTCTCCCGGCAGGATCCCTCAGTCCATACGGATCCTGGGCAGCCTGGTGGCCATCCTGCTGGTGTTTCTGATCACTGCCATCCTGGTGAAGGTGCAGCTGGATGCTCTGCCCTTCTTTGTCATCACCATGATCAAGATCGTACTCATTAACTGTAAGCTGGGCCAGGAAGGGGCCTGTGGGAGGAGGCGTGCCCAACTACCCCCACTCTTTTTTCAGACCCACTGTTAGCCAGAGAGAAGCCCAGCCTCTGCCTGAAGGGAGTGGATGCTGTGAGCAGTTGGGATTCAGAGGCCTGAGTGGGCCTGGACCAGGGCTGGGAGGGGGCAGAGAGAAGGGCAGCTCAGCCTCAAGGCCCACCGAGAGTAAAGTAGAAATCACAGGGACCTGTCTTCTTGGGCACCCCCAACCGCCAACCCTAGCTCCCCTGCTTATGCCCACCCTGTTTCCCCAGCGTTTGGTGCCATCCTGCAGGGCAGCCTGTTTGGTCTGGCTGGCCTCCTGCCTGCCAGCTACACGGCCCCCATCATGAGTGGCCAGGGCCTAGCAGGCTTCTTTGCCTCCGTGGCCATGATCTGCGCTATTGCCAGTAAGTCCGGCTGTCTACCTGCCCAGTGCCCTGGTGTGGTGGGGAGAAGGGATGGGGCCTATCTCTGATCACTGACACCACCCCAGGTGGCTCGGAGCTATCAGAAAGTGCCTTTGGCTACTTTATCACAGCCTGTGCTGTTATCATTTTGACCATCATCTGTTACCTGGGCCTGCCCCGCCTGGTGAGTAAATGGAGGGAGCTGGGGTTTGGGGTATACAGGTCTGGGGTGTTCTAAGGACAAAACCTGAAGGAGGCTGGGATTCTGGAGATTCTGCCTGTGAATCCACCTCCCCTGTCTCCCTTACTTGATAGGAATTCTACCGCTACTACCAGCAGCTTAAGCTCGAAGGACCCGGGGAGCAGGAGACCAAGTTGGACCTCATTAGCAAAGGTCTGAAGAGCCTGAGGAAGCTGGGGTGGAGGATGGTATACCAGGCGGGGGAGAGCACGAGCAAAGAGAACAAAGATGAGTGCACTGTGTTAGCTAGCAGCCCTGAGCCAGAGGAGGACCGAAGGACTGGGGTGGGGAGAGGAAGACAATAGGAAATAAGGGCCGGCAATGATAAAATGGGGGCAGATCCTGGATGACCTTGAACGCCTGAGGTGTTTGGACTAAAGGCAGTGGGAAGCAATTTCAGATTCCTCAGTGAGGAATAACATGACCTGAGGCTCCTGGGAGAGGCCAGGCCCCCGGGACTTGAGCTGTAGGGATTTGAAGGCGAGGTCTGGTTTAGGGTTAGGGTGCAGCTGGGACTGGTTTGGGACTGGTTAAGGAGGCGTCTACTTTCTAGTGATCCCAGCCCTTTTGGGGAATGTTTGTGTTGTCTTCTGTTGCTCTGTCCTCCCCACAACTTGGAGATTCTTCCACCCCGCAGGAGAGGAGCCAAGAGCAGGCAAAGAGGAGTCTGGAGTTTCAGTTTCCAACTCTCAGCCCACCAACGAAAGCCACTCTATCAAAGCCATCCTGAAAAATGTATGTAGGGAAGGTTATCCTACCTTCTACCTCTTGTCCTCTCTCTCCTCCTTTTGCTCCCTCCCTCTGGCACCCATCTCCTCCCTTTCTGACCTGAGAGTGGTCACTCCTGGATTCTTTTGTGTGTGCGTGTGTGCCCCCCATGTGTGCATGCCAGGGGTGGGGTTCGTGGTTCCTTTTTTTTTTTTTTTTCTGAGACAGAGTTTCATTCTTGTTGCCCAGGCAGGAGTGCAATGGCACAATCTCCACTCGCTATAACCTCTATCTCCCGAGTTCAAGTGATTCTCCTGCCTCAGCCTCCCAAGTCGCTGAGATTACAGGCATATGCCACCATACCCAGCTAATTTTTTGTATTTAGTAGAGACGGGGTTTCACCAGGTCAAGCTGGTGTCAAACTCCTGACCTCAGGTGATCTACCCACCTTGGCCTCCCGAAGTGCTGGGATTACAGGCGTGAGCCACCGTGTCCGGCCCGGATCCGTGGTTCTTTAATGCACAGCCACCATGAAGACACAGGCACCTGGGTGACTCTACCCCTTCTATCTAGATCTCAGTCCTGGCTTTCTCTGTCTGCTTCATCTTCACTATCACCATTGGGATGTTTCCAGCCGTGACTGTTGAGGTCAAGTCCAGCATTGCAGGCAGCAGCACCTGGGGTGAGGAGGCCACAGGTTCCCAGGATGGGAACAGACAGGATCTTGAGCTGGGCTGGAAGTAGGGAAGAGAGGGAGCCTGGGTCACCTTCTCCCCATTTCCTGGGTCCATTTGCCCTTCCCTGGGCTGGAAGCATCTTCTCCATTTTACTGTTGGGGAAGCTGAGGCCCAGTGAAGGTTAGGTTTGCTATACCTGCCTCTGAGCCTGATAACCACCCATTCGTCTCCTCTTCCAGAACGTTACTTCATTCCTGTGTCCTGTTTCTTGACTTTCAATATCTTTGACTGGTTGGGCCGGAGCCTCACAGCTGTATTCATGTGGGTAAGTGGAGGAAGAGGGCCCCAGGCCCCTGTGGGAAGTAAGAGTCCAGCCTGGACCCAGAGAGGGAACCCAAGAAAGTATGGTAGTAGGGGGACCATTTGTTTTAAAGTCGAGGCATAATTTATGTATAGTTAAGTACAAGTCTTAAGTGTACAACTTGATGAATATATATATATGCATACCTGCCCAGATCGAGATATAGAATATTTCCAGCATTCCAGAAGGTTCCACCATGCCCCTTTCAAGAGTAACCCCCTAAGGCGAACCAGGCTTTGAGGTTTCAGTTCAGGTCCTGAGAGGCCCCAGATGGATCCTTGGGGGCCTGGTTGTGCCCTGGGGTGGTGGCCTGGGCTGAGGCCCTGCCTGGTGCCCACAGCCCGGGAAGGACAGCCGCTGGCTGCCAAGCCTGGTGCTGGCCCGGCTGGTGTTTGTGCCGCTGTTGCTGCTGTGCAACATCAAGCCCCGCCACTACCTGACTGTGGTCTTCGAGCACGATGCCTGGTTCATCTTCTTCATGGCCGCCTTTGCCTTCTCCAACGGCTACCTCGCCAGCCTCTGCATGTGCTTCGGGCCCAAGTGAGTAGGGCTGGCAGGGAACTTGGTGGCATCAGACAGGATCTAGAGTTCCAGTAGGGGACACTCAGTAGAGGGAGGGCAAAAGGAGAGTCCCTGCTCCCAGAGCTGAAAGGAGAGATGGCTCAGGAGGGGCTCCTAGGCTGAGGGGATAGTGACTGTAGTGGAGGTGGGTGTCCAGGCTTACTTGGGTGTAGGTGGAGACGGGCTCGCAGGAAAGAGTGAAAGACAACCCCACCATACACATTCCCTCAAGGAGGAGAAGCCAGGTTGGGGTTAGGCAGCTAGGATGGGTTGATCAGCAGAATGAGGTTCGACAGTGAAGTCACCCCACCCCACCCCTCCTTCCAGCCAGAGGCTCTGGGCTGGGGTACAGCCATTCTGAGGTAGCCGTGCCCTTCCTTCCCCACTTAGGAAAGTGAAGCCGGCTGAGGCGGAGACCGCAGGAGCCATCATGGCCTTCTTCCTGTGTCTGGGTCTGGCACTGGGGGCTGTTTTCTCCTTCCTGTTCCGGGCAATTGTGTGACAAAGGATGGATGGACAGAAGGACTGCCTGCCTCCCTCCCTGTCTGCCTTCTGCCCTTCCTTCTGCCAGGGGTGAGCCTCACTGGTCTGGAGGTTTTTCTTCTAACTGACTTCTGCTTTCCACGGCGTGTGCTGGGCCCAGATCTCCAGGTCCTGGGGAGGGAGCCTTTGGACAGACAGTGGGGACATTGTGGGCTTGGGGCTCAGAGTGGAGGGACGGGGTGTAGCCTCGGCATCTGCTTGAGTTTCTCCACTCTTGGCTCTGACTGATCCCTGCTCGTGCAGGCCAGCGGAGGCTCTTGGGCTTGGAGAACACGTGTGTCTCTGTGTGTGTGTCTGTGTCAGTGTCTGCCAGACTGTCCGCCTGTCCCGGGGTGGCTAGGAGCTGGGTCTGACCGTTGTATGGTTTGACCTGATATACCCCCTACCTCCGTTCTCCCCTGCGCCGCCTCCTCTGTGTTCTCTCCATGTCCCCCTCCCAGCTCCCCATGCCCAGTTCCTACCCATCATGTACCCTGTACAGTTGCCACGTTACTGCCTTTTTTTAAAAATATATTTGACAGAAACCAGGTGCCTTCAGAGGCTCTCTGATTCAAATAAAGCTTTCTTGTTTTTTTCTCCTTGGCTCCCTGTGTCCTCCAGCCGTGGCTTCATGCCCTGGAGTGGGTAGAGGGCTGGCAGCCTGAGTCCGGGAGATGAGCATGACCCAGCTGGGCCCTGGCCAGGACTGGACCTGGGTCCAAGGGCCCGAGGGTGGGTGGGGGGGGGGGGGGAGTCCTCCTGGCCTCAGAGGGGCTGCAATGCCCCCTGCTGGGGCCATAGGGGAGGGACAGGCCTAGAACCAGAACACCAAGACTATTAGCCAAGACAGAGAGAACAGGTTTTTCTTTGCTTCATAGGACAGAGGATGGAGATAGCTCCCCATCTTTCCTTTGTCTTCACTGCCACCCCCTCCACTCTGTCCCCAGCCCCAGCAATGAACTCTACAAAACTGGCCAGCTCCTGGCCGCACTCCCACACCACCAGGCAGGAAGAGGCTGAGGCCTGAGGGTTCTCCCCTACCTGGCAACCAGCCCTGACATCAAAGCTCAGCCTGCCAGACTTCCTGGGGAACAAGGGGCCTGTGTGTCCACACAGTGAAACCAACCCTCCCCTTCTCAACCCAAACTCTGGCCTAGGGAGGAGTGGGTTGATACGGAACTATGAGAGTGTCTCAGTGGAGAGGGCCCTACCACTGGGACTCCCATCTCAAGAATGACCTCCTGACTGGAAGTGGGACCAGAGCTCTGGCCACAGTGCAGCACCCCTGCAATTTGCACCCCCTACCCTCCCACAAGTCTCAGACTTCTCCCAGAAAGCAGAAGACATTCCTGAATTCTCAGTGCGGGCTGCTCACTCAGCCCTGGCCAGCGGATGGCTACAGAGTTGGCACCTTTGTCAGTCCTTCCTTTCTCACTGGAGTTTAATTTAATTGAGAACTTCAGGCCTCATTAAGGGCTGTTAGCGCATTTTTAAGGCTCTTTGATGAGCTCTGAAGCCCTAATGGAGTAGCTAAGTATACCAGGGCACTGGGAACTGAAGTTCATATGCTATTAATCTTTTGTCAGACCAGAGTATTTATCTGAGGTGCTGGAAAACAAGGCATTCCTTTTGGATCAGGTTCAAAAGCTGAGGGGTTCCCTGAGTATCCTTCCCCCAGTCTGCAGTGCTGTTTGGCAGTAAGTCAAGCTGAACGTACAAATCTGAGCTCTTTCTTGTCCTCAGTCCTCTCATTGTACCCAAGCCCCAAAGAGCCCTATGGGTTTCCTTCCTCAGCACCAGCAGTGCCTCAGAATTCTGTATTTCTTCCTAAGGTTGCTTTACCACCTCCTGCCTGACCCATTGGGACTTCCAGGTCTCTTCCAGTCCATTCCACACATGGCCACAAGAATAATCTGAAAGCGAATCTAGCAGGTGCTGCTTGCTCTCTGGAGCATGCGTCTGTGTCCTGAGCGTTTTCTGATCCTCCACCACCGACAGCCAGTTTGTGCAATTTCTTTGCACCTCAGAGCTTTCATAATGTTGTGACTTCTATCTTGTTCTTATCTTACTGCAGCTACCACTGTCATGTTTTTGAGCTTAGGGTGTACTTTTTACTCCTATTTTGGCTTTTCAAGCTATGTCATACCTGCCTCCCAGAGGTACTTGGAAAATGTTGGCTTGATGGCACGTGCCTTATCCCAAGGCAGAATTCATCTCCACAGTCCTCACATGCCCCACTCCAGCCATGTGGTAGCAGGCCTTGCTTGTGACCCTGGGATAGAGGTGGGGATGCTAAGTAGGTTCCTCTCAACCCCAGCACTGATTTGAAAGGAAAAACTAGGATACAGTTCCTTTCTCCCTTCCTGTACTTAAATTGATGTTGAAGGAAATTACTAAAGTATTTTCTCCCCAAAATTTTAAAACACAAATACTAAAAAATGTCAGTCTCTTCCATTCTCCTGACCTCAGTGTTTTCACAGGTAAACCTGGAGGGGGTGAGGAGGTTAGGAAAAGCAGCTCCTAGGCCTCCTGCCCACTCAGCTGCAGGGATGGCTCCCGACCCCAAGTGGGTGCTCACAGGCCCTACCCTTTGGGGAGCAGGGGTCTCTTCTGGGTCCTCCACCTTCCTGCTAGCACCTTGCTGCCTGTAAAGTAGAGAGGGCTGAGCATGAAAATCCACCAGATATCCCTGGCTGCCCTGACTTGCTGCTGGTCATCACCTTCCTTCCATGTCACGTTTCTGCTCAAAACAGTCAATATTTCAACTGCTGTCCCTGGAGTGGCTGCCATTGCAACACAGGAATGTCCCTCTTATTTAATCTTTTATGATGAAATGTTGGGGCTTTAAACAGTTGAAAAGCTAAGAGCCGTAGTAATCAACCATCCTGGAAAATAGAAATGAAGCCTTAGGTATAATCTATGAGTCAGAATGTATCTGTTTATCTATTCTTTGAGGTGAATATGGAAATACCATGGTGGAGGCAATATAAAGCCAGGGCTGGGAAAGCGTTTGACAAAAGAACCCCAGTTAAGTTTTTGTTTTTACTTTTTTTGGTGGTGGGGGGTGGGATGGCGTTTCACTCTTGTTGCCCAGACTGGAGTGCAATGGCACAATCTCAGCTCACCACAACCTCCGCCTCCAGGGTTCAAGCAATTCTCCTGCCTCAGCCTCCCAAGTAGCTGGGATTACAGGCATGCATCACCACGCCTAGCTAATTTTGTATTTTTAGTAGAGATGGGGTTGTACCATGTTGGTCAGCCTTGTCTCAAACTGCCGACCTCAGGTAATCCTCCTGCCTTGGCCTCCGAAAGTGCTGGGATTACAGGCATGAGCCATGCCTGGCTAAAGTGTTTTTGGTTTTCTTTGAGATGGAGTATTGCTCTGTCACCCAGGCTGGAGTGCAGTGGCATGATCTTGTCCTCGCCAAGATCTACTACAGGCTCCACCTCCTGAGTAGCTGGGATTACAGACACGTACCACCACGTCTGGCTATGTTTTGTATTTTTAGCAGACACGGGTTTTCACCATCTTGGCCAAGCTGGTCTCGAACTCCTGACCTCGTGATCTGCCCACCTCTGCCTCCCAAAGTGCTGGGATTACAGGTGTGACCGCACTCGGCCCCCAGTTAAAGTTTAACTAGAGTTAAACTATGACAGTAATTCAAAATGGATGTAAACAGAAAAATGCAGCCACCTTAAGGAAATAGGCCTGTTTGTCCAGCAAGCCCTGCCTGGAAGCCAAGTCTTCACACACAGGAAGAGTGGCAGTCCGCAGATCAGCCAGCAGATCTGACTCAGAGGCCAGGTTGGTAGTGTCCCCCCTAACCCTTGGGGACCAACTGTTTCCTGGGCAGGTTGGCACTAAGGGTGGAAATGGGCAGAGCCCAACTCCCCCTGGCCCCAGCCTCATCAGTGGCCCTGTGTCCGGCCTGGACTCCTCTGGCTCATCTCAGTATGACCTGGCTTCCTGCGTAGATGCTCCCAGGGAGAGGACGTGCCCACTCAGAGTCTTCTGCATCCTTGGCAGTCCTGGTGCTCGCTGGAAGTGAGCAAGTTGGCGTTCTGGCACCAGACTGCAGGGTGACTGCTAAATGTGAGTCAGCAGGGCGCCACGAAGGCCTCTGTCCTCTCTCCTGGGCTTGCCCCGTACCAGCTGTGATCCCGGATTAGTCACTCCTCCCCTAGGCCCCGCCTCCTCGTCCTTACAAGGATATGACATATGTGTTGACTTAAGTAAATTAAGTGTGCGGGAGAGCACGGATGCAGGAGGTGAGGTCCCCAGAGCTACGTGGTGCCATCACTTATCAGGATGAGCCTCAGGACGGCCCTCCCCGCACCGCACGTTCCCCCACCTAGCCTATTCCAGGCTGCTTCCCACCTGCGTTCATTCCCCTCCCCCGTATCTCCAGTCCCCGGAAGCTTCGAGACCCAAGCCTCACTTCCCCTACTCCAGATATTTCCAGCGTGAACCACCACGCGGGTCCCTAAGCCCCGCGGACAGCGGAGAACCATGGGGCTGGGGACGGCGAGAGGGGCGACGGGGACCGGGCCCCTGCCCCATCCCGCCGCGAGAAGCGGAGCCGGTGAGGTGACCGGGTCCGCGCGCCCCCTGGCGGGCTCACAGCCCCACTGCTCTGCGCTTCTGCGTCCTGGCGGGTGGGTGACCAGACTGCGTGTCAGACCCATGCCACTGCCCCGTGTCCGGGTGACCTTGAGCCAGGCTCGTTCCGTCGCAGCGCCACTCATCTGTAAGGCAGGGATGGTCACACTTGCCTTGACAACCGCGTGGGTCGTGAAACTTGTTATTCACTGAACTAGTGAATAACAACGTTACTTGGGCCAGCCACCCGTGTCTCACTGTCTTACATGGCCTTATCTGATTTGCCAATAACCCTGTAAAGTGATGACTATTGCTATGCTCATTTTACTCCAGAAAACTGAATCTGAAAGGTTAAAGGATGGAAAAATATTCTGTAAGCTGCAAAGCACTAGGTAAATATATTTCTCTCTCTTCTCTCTCTCTCTTCTCCCCTTACGAGAGTTCCCAGTCAGTGAAGGGAACAGAAAAATACAAGGCATCATGTGGCACCATAATGCAAATGTGGTCCACCTTCCTCCCTTATTTTGGACACAAGAGAACTCTTGTCTTCTCACGTCCTCGGGGAATCCCAAGAATCCTGGGACATTGACCTCTCATATAATCTCACCCAGGTGAAACCAGCAAAGTCCCTCCTGATGTCTAACCTCAGCCCCTCCTGGGTGTGAGCTCCTCTCCACCCAGCAGCACTATCACAGTCCTACCATTCCATCAGCTGGGTGGGGTGGCAGTGAGGCCAGTGAATGGCCCAGAAATCCAGCCCATTGAAACCTACATGCTGAAAAGGAATGACTTCATTTTGGGACAGGCCAGGTGGCAGGCAAAACAGTTAAGTAGATCAGGGTTGTTTGTGGTGCCACCTGCCCCCTGCACTTTCCACTGGCTATAATCTGCTCTGGGATGAACTGATTTGGGGTTAAGTTTTACCTTCTTAGTCAAAAGGGGCCTGGGACACTGAACAATGCCCAAGACAAAAAGGGATGCCTGGTGGGCATGATGACAGAAG